TATCCCATGTGAATAATTTATGATATCATTTGTCCAAGGTCTTTTCCCAATGTCATATGGGTATAATGTTTCTTTAGTTTGTCTTTTCAAACCAACATAAGCTATGTTTTCTCTATTACAGTTCTGCTTATATACACACTTTGCAAATATATATTTCCATATTAATGACATTATCTGAAGAATGGAATCTTTAAATTAAAACTCTGTCTGCATCTTTGGATTTTGTAGCTCATTCACCCTTAAAAATATTCCATACAGCTCATCATTGATTTATAAAAGAACACTCCAATGGAATAAATAGTGTAGACTAATGTCAGCTATATGTGACTATAATATGGATTCTACATTTGCATTGATCTGTCTTTTCATGTGCTTGTCTAAGCTCAGCTTACTCACTAACTCATGAAGGAAGACATTCAACTATATTAATACTTTTGTTTTAGTTGATTGTTTCTTATTTCATGCTAGACAGATACGCAATATTAGGCTTAGCAACGTAAGCTGCAGCTTCTTAATTTTAGTAATATGATAATTACGATTTGGTAATTATTTCTATGTCAACGTTTTGGGGGATTGCAATTTGAGTGTTTTAAAGGGTTACTCCAAGTACCGTGACCACTTCAGTGATTTAACTCTCGGCCAATGAATGTAGACCGCAATGACTTCTGACTTCTGTAAGATTGCAGAAGATTAAAATCACGTCATCACGACACCAAGGAGTAAATAAAAAAAGAAAATGTGACTACCGTATTACTATAAGAGGCTATAAACCTCTTTATGCCTCCACCTGTCATGCTGTGGGAGGGAGCATATCTACTGACCTCCTAATGAAATATACAATTAGCCACACCACATTAAAATTAACCAATCCTACCTACTCCTATCACCTTAATAATTAGTGAAGGGGGGCTAGTACATCTGATGACTTAAAGAAAATGATACTTACTATAGGAAGTCTTCTTTCTAAATATTCTTTTTTTCAGCCCCCCAAAAGGCCAATTTAAACTCTATAATAACACAATTATTTAAAAAAGAAAAAAGGGGGGGTGGGGGATGGGGCCTGATAGCCGAGCTAGGCAGATGTGTTTTCTAAGAGCTCTGGCACAACTGAACTCAGTTTGGGCATTTATTGGTCTAATCGTGATATCTGCAGTTTTGCACGATGGTGGCTCATTGATGTATCGAGTGGGGGCTCGTGGATACCTGTTCAATGTCTTTCCATTGAGATATACCATACTCCACATATGTGGCCTAACGTGGAACTCGGGACCGCTCTGAACAGCAACTCTCCTGATGCCCTGTAACCCCCGTCTGGGCTGGTGGGAAAGCTTACTTACATGCAACAGAAGAATGCACGATGATCCTAAATGGCCTCCGAGCCACAACCCGAGCCCTTCACAGTTTCAGGAGAGCCTGGTGACCCTGGTGATCAAATCCCGAAGAGAGAGCTTTGGGGCTCGGTTTGACCGGATCTGCCAGGTGTTCTGGATGCACTTAGAACACAGACCTCACCTGCTACAGCAGAGAATGTATCTGAAGCGGCAGTTCACAGATCCGGCTCTGGGTCGGAGCCCCATATGGAGGCGCGTCCATCTTGCTGCCCAAATTACCGGAAGACTCTCAAGGCACCAGAGCATTTTAGGGCCCGTGTCCATGCTGAGAGGGAAGAGCCTTCAGATTGAGAGACTGGCTCCTCTTCAGTCCTGCGATCAGGACGATGGCGTTAATTGGAGGTTCTGTTGCCCTGGAAGTCCTTGGGCTGAAGAAACAGCCAAGTCCGATCCTGAGCACACATGGGCCACAGGGAGAATCTTGGAGTGGCAGCAAAAAGTTGTTATTGGACACAGCAAGTACTTACCGTAGATGCCCTATTCAGGTATAGGCTGACTGTCCCCCCTACACGTATTTCATTGCCCTCATCTTGGGTCGTGGTCTGTAGCTCACCTATCACCTACCCAGTGACCAAATCCTGATTGTTTGCATTATTTACTATAATTTCACTCATTCTTGTGACACTAAGATGCATGTGACTCATTCTACCACCCAGTGGCAATATCGCTCATGTGTTTGATGATGCAGCAATGTGCCTTGTCTGTTTTTTTTATCGTATGAGCTTTCGCATCTCTGCTCCAAACTTAATCTGTTTTAATAATACTAAACATTGTGCAATTTCTGTGAATGCCATATTCATATGTCACACTGTCTGTTATTCCTGTGCTTGTGCCTGCTGTTGTGACATCACAAGCTTATTTGTTACCATTTGCACAACAAAAATAAAGAATATGAAAACAAGCAAAAAAAAAACCAAAAACTGTAGATAATAAAAAATGGTGAAAAAAACCCTTACACCAAAAAGATTACAGATTTGGTCAGACTGTCCAAATTTCAAACAGATTTGTCTTTAGTAAATAGGAAAATTTCCATGACAGAATTTGGCCTTTTTTGATGGATTTTGTCCAACCAGACAAAATCCAGTGTTTAGTGAATTACCTTGTATGTCTGAATGTGTGTCTTTGGGTTCAAGCTATTTGTTTTATTTACGCATCTCTCCACCACAAGAATCATATACTGCCTCTGGCACCAGTTATCCATAACCTCTATCTCTAAATGCCACTGTTATAGGGACATTATAGTCAACAAAAAAAACAACTTTGGATTAATGAAGCAGTTTAGGTGTATAGACCATGCCCCTACAGTCTCATTGCTCAATTCTCTGACATTTAGGTGTTAAATCACTTTGTTTATATAGCCCTGGTCATACCTCCCTGCATGTAATGTGTACATCCTTCCTAAACACTTCCTGTAAAGAGTAATCTAATGTTTACACTTGCAAATTCTGTTTTATTTAGAATTTCTTATCCCTTTCTCTGTTAGGAGGTTGCTGGACCTTGCAGGAGCCTCCTGCGCATATTTAGAGTTTAATTTTACAGAGCAGGAGATAATGACTTCTAAAGTCAGTTAACATCTGATTGCAAATTAAACCATTTTTTCATGCAGGCTGTGTGAGTCACAGCCAGGGGACGTGTGACTATTAGGCTACATGGATAAAAACATAAGTGATTTAAAGGGACATTATAGTCACCAGAACCATTACAGTTTAACGTAGTTCTGGTGTCTATATCCGATCCCTGCAGGCTTTTTAATGTAAACACTGCCTTTTTTCAGAAGAGGCTGTGTTTACATTGCTGCTTACTTTCACCTCTAGTGGCAGTCACTCAGACGGCCACTGGAGGTGCTTCCTGTGTCAGTGCAGCACTGCACTGCATGGAGGGGCTAAACGTTCCCTATAGAGATGCATTGATTTTGTGCATCTATATTATGAGATGCTGACAGGTGCAGCATGGTGTTTTGCCGCGCATGCACAACACCATCCTAATACTTTCCTATGGAAAACAATTGGATTGGCTGAGATCATCATGAAGGAATATACATTTATGTTCCTAATACTATATTGTTCCTTTAACTCCTAAACTTCAGAGGTATGGTCTACACATAAAATCTACTTCTTTAAGCTAAAGCTGTTTCAACCTCTGACATATAATCCTAAATTGATTAATCCTTCTCTGTCGTGACCTGAGGCAATGCGTGATATAGACTTATGTCCAATATTCAGGATATTATCTCTGTGGTGGTACTTTACCGGTGCTCTCTTCAGGGGTATAGGCAGTACCTGTAAAGGGCTTCCCAAGTAGGTAGCCAACAGCTCTATTTCTTCCTGCATAACTGCTCTATTTCTTCCTGCGCATGGCAGCTCTAATAGGATATGACACCATATCATGTCCTCCCTGTGCTCTAAGGAAGCGAAAATGGTTTCAAATCAGAGCTGTCAAGTAGTGACAGTCCTATCCAAATATATTCCAGGTAAGCCTCCTCCTGAAGCAAAAAGGAAGGCGAGCTAGAGGGTGACTAAAATCAGTATGTGCTGTATGTATTTAGACATGTGCATGTCTGTCAGTGAGTACCTGTATATGAGTGTGTGTAAGCATGCCTGTGTCTGTCTATCTGTAAGTGTGTATCTCTGTGTGTATGTTTGGCACTGTGTATATGTACATATATGTGTTTCTGTGTGCGTCTGCCATTTTTGGATCTGTGTGGCATTGTGTATTGGTGTATAACCCTGGTAGTATTTATGTGTATGTTTCTATATGTGAGCATATGTATGTGTCTCTTTGTCTAGGAAAATCTATCTGTGTATAAATAAGATGCATACGTGAAAACGAGATAAATCTCAATGTATCCTTCCTGGTAAAATAAGTCATACATTTGTAAAAATGTGCACCTGGTTCTCAAATTGTATATGGGTGGTGGGGGGAGGCGGGGAGACCAGTGCTTTTGCAAGGGTCCCACAATTTCTGATGACAGCTTTGGACTCTAGACAGCTGTGGCCCAGATCATGGAATTTAATAAGAGATGCTAAATAATTGATTAGGGATACATAGCACCCCTCAGCATCTCCACAGAACTGCTACTGTGTGTAGTGCTCCCTTTACAAAGAGTGCAGCATCATTGCAACAATCTTAAAATCGATGTTGTTTAAAATTACACCACCAGAGCTAATTTTATGGTTAGTGCTGGTGTTCCTTACATTTAGGTTTATGGGGGTAAAGCGTGCTGGATGAATGGTTAAGAGTGAATTACGGTATGCAGCCTTGTAGATGTTGTGCAGTGTAACTCCCATGATTCTCAGGCTAGCAGGATTGCATGCATTGTACCCTGCATTTAAATGCCACTATGATGGAGCAATGCAATTTCAAAGATGCAATGTCACTAAGTCACTAAATTCCTGGTTGTCTTTTTTAAGTTAGCATTTCTTATGTCCATAAGCGAGTCTAATTGAAATAAGAGACGTATATCACACATTATCATTAAACTTTCTAATACTATGTACTTAGACACAAACATGGTTATAATACCTCATAAATGTAATTACTAGTAAATTCACTCTCCTACTTCCCCCTCCTCCTGCTCCAGGCTTAGAGGAGTGACAGTTCCTGGAGCCTCTGGGAAGAGGACGTGTGTTTGATACTATGTCTGACTTGAGTCACAGTCACTACTAAACTCTGTGCTCAGTCAGCTTCACAATCCCCACCAGCAACAGGAGCAGGACAACACAGACTGGATTCTGAGATGGCTGACAAACATTACACTGACCCCTCTGCTGAACTTGCTGACAAAGAGAATCAGGAGTGGGGTTATGAAGAAGGTCAGTGCTTTAATTGTATTTTCATATATACACAGGTGTAGAGCTAACAGCCTTAGCTGAGTATGATGGTAATAGTGTTACATGATGTTGCAGTGTATCTACTCCAGGACTGGGAATAGACAGTATGTAAGGGACATTTCTCTGAAACACCACCTCAGTATTGCTTCACTCATTAAAACTACCAGAGAGGGCAATACAACTATATATCCTCTTCCTTATTATTAAACACATCAAAGATAATGTATGCAGTGTGGGGACTTTTCGAATGCTCAGATTTGTCTCTTTGACTTGTAATTATGAATAGGTGTGCTTACCTCCTGATAGTGTTGTCTAAGTTATTAATGGGGATAAGACACGTCTATCCCCAAATAAAGCAATGTGTGATTCATTACTGTTACAATAACTTCAGATAATCATATTGCAACTGGTTTAGGTCCAAAGCATTTGTTATACATTTGTATCTGCTGTCTGTTTGTGTTTTTATTTATGTATTTAACAATGTCTTGAGTATGTATCAAAGTGTATAAAAACATCTAGTAATATATATGCATATACAATGTTAAATATAAAAATAAATTGTATATATGTAGATAACGTGTGTATGTGTGTATACATATATATATAGGTTATTGTTGAAGTGCACTCACAGGACTCAATAATATTTCTAATCGTGCTGTTTATTCAAGCATCACAGTAATACAAAGAAGTGTCGACTTGCAGGACTTTTTTCATAAATACATATACACACACACATACATACATATACAAATAAACACACACACACTACCTATACATCACACACACACACATATATATTACCCACTATTTTTTTTTTGGGGGGTGGGGGGAGTTTTGAGACAGCTTTTGGAAATTTTGTTTGGCTGTTCTTTGTGACGTTTACATGAAAAGCTGATTTCAGACTGCAGGTAGTGGAAGCATCCAGAGGTTAAAGGATTGTATTTAAAAAAACAACAAAAAAACAATACATGAATACATTACCTTTTTGAGAATCCTCAGCAGGACACATCATGGACAGACAGTAAATGTCTTAATATGTTTATGCACAGGAGGAGACATTAGCAGTCATAGCACACCCTCTAAAAACAAAAACAATATAAAAGGGCACTAAAAACATTAATGGTGCAAATAATCATATACTTAATATGAAAGTGAAGAGCTGCACCTATAATGTGTAAGTTCTTATTGTAAAGCACACTCTCTGTCTACCTCATCCAGTCCAAGACCCCACCCTAAGGTCCATGTGGATGGGCCACTGAGTGCCATGCTATGTGGGGTGAGTGGCATACTGTTGAATACATTTGGGGATCTCTAGTAGAAGTCCAGCATGTTTATACCATGTCCATGCATCATCACCTTCTTTCTATAGATATTCTTAAAAAAAAAAAGATACAAAACCATCTGATCTCGAAAAATAAAAGTTTAGTCCTTACACCACGTGACTGAATGAGAAATAAAATGTTTGCTTTAATGCAAGATATTTAAATTTCATGCACCATAGTGTTGACAGCGACAGTGTGATTGGCTTGTCTGTTTGAAACGCTCTCATTATCCTGTTGAATTTGATTTGCGGAAAGCGGAAAACTAATTTGGAAAAAAAAACTATCCAATCACAAGCTTGAAACGTGCTGTAATTTGTTACAGTGCAAATGTCAGGTTGTACAGAATTATCTGGTGTATGACTATTGACTATTAATGTTTTGACTATTTTTCTATAAGTTGTAGCTTTTATTTTTTAAAAGGATCAGTTTCAGTGGTTTCATTATACTGCATGTGGTTAGCTTTAGATTTTTTTTAAGGGCAGGGTTGTGGAGGAATTTTACTATGGCCAAATATAAATAGGAAATCTGATTTTCAATTCACCACAATTCATTGTGATTAGGTTCTTTAGTAAATTAGGTCAAAGTCTGTTGAAATAAAACTGAATGGTGGTGAAATGACAAATCTTATACAGTAGCCAATATGCTAGCCCTCAAGCTAATATAGGTGGCAGGAGAGATAAATAAACAATTACAGTCCAATGAAACCATTTCTCCGGAACACAAAGTATTATTCTATAAGGTGGATTAGAACACAAATAGTGTTTTGTTTCTTAGATTGAATTCATGTTGATGTCTAACATACCAGGAAACGTGTTCCCTTCTGATAGCGCTTTCCTATTGAGAGTCTGGTCTGGATTTGTAAAGAGATACTTATCATTAAAGCAAAAATGTTTATAAACCCTTTTGTATTACTTAACACACTACGTAAAATCTTGACACCTCTTCACACTCATCGCTGACATAGATTTTGCTTTACACAATAATGTTAAAGTTCAGTGCTCTCTTTTAGACAATGCTAGACTGTAATTTTCATTAGGCTAAATAGGCATTTATCTAAAGAAATGCAAACTTGGCAACTTCATATGCATATGAAAGCTGCCATGAAGTCTGTTTTTGCCCAATAATATCGCTTACAATTCACAGATTTTACTATTATCATGACGTAAAGTCATGATTTTATTAACGACACGGAGACGAGTATTATGCTGCACTCTTTCTTTATTTCCCTCAGCAGCAAAGAAATTTTTTTAAACGTAACCAGTATATAACAGAGTTTGAGAGTAGTATCTCCTTAGTAACAGGAACATCCAATCAGGTTCCTCTCTTCAGCATAATAGGCTCTGTCAACCAATCCTATTCCTCTTTATTTGTGATCCCGAATAACGATAATCATCCAACCGAAAATTGGTCCGATCACAAAAGATAATATCCGTAAAGATATGTAGATTAGCCTGTAAAAGAGGAGAAATATGGTAATATTCTAGTATGAAACTGAGTGTATGCATGAATCACCAGTCATTGTGGATATGGTTTAATTATTTCAAGCTATCGTGAATAAGTATTAAGTATTGAGCAACATAACCGGAGGGAAAAACTCCATGACATCAGGAATTACCGTGAGTCTACTTACCCTTAATCTGTGCCTTGTGGATAAGATCAGGTAATGAAATACATTGCATGAAGAGGAAAACTCCATAAATCAGGACTTACCTGAGATCAACTTACCCATATTCCCTCCTTCTTCGGTATGGGCGGGAGGGATAATACTCGCCTCCATGAATTTTATTAAGACACGGAGGCTCCTATTATGCTTGTTTAAAGCTGGGAGACTACCGTTCCCGCAAAGTGTTGAATGGGTTTAAAATAAAAATCATGAAAGGTGGATTCTGATGACCAATCGGGCGCTTTCATAATGTCTTCAAGTCGACAACCAATCGAGGAGGCTTTGGAAGCCATCACTCCCCATACAGAGTGAGGTGAGAATAATGACGTGTCAATTCCCGCTAAGGACATAATCCATTTAACCCAGCGAGCTAGGGTAGGAGTAGATAGTGGAAGGTGTGGTTTTTGGAACGAAACAAAAAGTTTGTGTTTCGTTATGTCGCGTAGTGTGGAGGTTCGAGATTCGTAGGTTTGTAAGCATTTGACCGGGCATAGGAGCGGCCTGTCCGGGAACGCTGGGTATGACACTCTCTTTGATGATGACTTTGTTCTTCGGGAAATATCGAAATTGACCCCTTCGGGGGTGTAGGAACGAGCGGTGAGGTCCAGAGCTCTGACATTGGAAACCCTCTTGCAGGATATGAGGCAAAGTAGCATAACCAGTTTAGCAGACAGCTGTTTCAGGGATAGATCTGCATTGTCTGGCCATGATTCTAGGAAAGTGAGAATGATGGAGACGTCCCACAGTACTGAATATTGTGGCACCGGGGGACGTGCAAATTTTATGCCACGTAAGAGTCTACATATCATCGGCTGGCGTCCAATCGGGATTCCGTCTAAACCTCGGTGTGAAGCCGAAATGGCTGATCGGTACAGGTTCACTGTACGGTAGGCTTTGCCATCTTCAAACAGTGAGGTCAGGAATTGAAGGATCGAGGTTAAAGGAACCGATATGGGATCCAAATCTCGCATCAATCATGCCATCTGATCCATGAAGACTTATAAGCCTGTCTCGTGCCGGGTGCCCATGCACCCTCGAGAAGGTGGAGAGTTGTCTCCGAAACTCCCTGGATTGCCCAAGGTCCCCTGAAATCAGCCACCCTGTGAGATGTTGAAGGCCTTGTTGTATCAAGGGATGAGGGGATCCGTCCGGGTCCTGAAGGAGGTACTCGAAGTGTGGGAGAATGCAGGGTTTATCTATCGCCATCTCTAAGAGGGGGGGAAACCATGGTTGGGAGGGCCATAACGGCATCACAATCACCAGGGTTCCCGTCTGACGTCGCAGCTGCAGTAGGGAACGTGGGATCATTGCAAACGGTGAAAAGGCATAATTCCTTGTGGACGCCCAATCTTGGGTGAATGCATCTGTTGCCAGTGCTGATGGGTCCGGTCTTTAGCTGACAAATCTGGGCAGTTGGGCATTCAAGCGGGAGGCAAAAAGATCTTTGTCCATGGGGCCTCATAGTGACCGTATATCTTTGAAGACCCTGGGGTCCAGTCGCCAGTCGCTGGGGTCCCTGAGGTGTCGTGAGCACCAATCCACCGTGGTGTTGCAGAGACCAGGTATGTATTCTGCTGTGACTGAGATGCCTTGTGTCAGGCAGAATTGCCAGAAGTCTCGTGCCATATTCGCCAGAATCCTTGATTTCGTGCCCCCTAGGTGATTGATATATATCGGACTGCTGATATATTGTCCATCTTCAGGAGGATAGAGCATTGGGCCTGAGTAGGCGAAAAACTGTGGATCGCAAAGGATCCAGAGAGAAGTTCCAGGCAATTGATGTGGAGGGATGATTCCATGTCGGACCATCTGCCACCTGTAGATACATTTCCATAGCGTGCACCCCAACCGAGTAAGCTCGCGTCGGACTCTATTATGAGATCTGGTGTGGTGCCAAATATGGCGCGACCATTCCAGGCTTCCATATGGAGGAGCCATCATTTTAGTTTGTCTTTCGCTTCCGCGTTTAGGGTGATCCAGTCCATGTAGGCTACCCCGT